TGAAGACTTAGAACTGCTCTGTCCAGTACACACACTGATCATATGTGGCTATCAAGCACTTGAATCTACTCTGAGTGGAGATGTGCTACATGTGTAAAATATACCTTAAATTTCAAAGGTCTAGTACAAAAAGTATAAAATATTCTATTAATGTTTTTGTTAATTATATGTTGAAAGGATAATATTTTGGATATATTGGATTAAGTAAAATAGGTTATTAAAATTGAAATTAATTTCATCCTTTTTATTAGTGTGGCTATTACAAAATTTAAAATTACATATGTGGCTTCCATTTGTGGTTTGTTTGTATTTTTATTGGGCATTGTTAATCTAAAGGGCTTGACATTCACGTTCGTTCATGAATAACTACTAGAAGATGCCCTTCAGTGACACAAATTTAAAACTAGTAGAATCCAGTAATTCACAATCTTTTGTTCAAACATATTGATATATTTAAATAACTCCTGGTACAAAATCTTAGGAGAGTGTAGTTTCAGAAGAATGTTTTAAAGAACTCTTCAGTAGGCATGTAAATTAACTTTTTTAATTTAAATTCAATTAATTAACACATAGTGTATTATTAGTTTCAGAGGTAGAGTTCAGTGATTCATCAGTCTTATATAATACCCACTGCTGGTTACAGTCACATGCCCTCCTTAATGTCCATCACTCAGTTACCCCATTATCCCACACTTCTCCCCTCCAGTAACCCTCAGTTTGTTTCCTATGATTAAGAGTTTCTTATGGTTTGTCTCCCTCTCTGATTTCATCTTGTTTTATTTTTCCCTCCCTTCCCCCATGATTCTCTGTTTCGTTTCTTAAATTCCACATACTAGTGAGATCATATGATAATGATCTTTCTCTGATTGACTTATTTCACTTAGCATAATACCCTCTACTTCCATACACATCATTGCAAATGGCAAGATTACATTTTTTTGATGACTGAGTAGTATTCCATTGTATACATATACACCACATCTTCTTTATCCATTCATCTGTTGATGGACATCTGGGCTCTTTCCATAATTTGGCTATTGTGGACATTGCTGCTATAAACTTTGAGGTGTGGGTGTCCCTTCAGATCACTCATTTGTATCTTTGGGGTAAACACCTATTAGTGCAATTGCTGAGTCATAGGGTAGCTCTATTTTCAACTTTTTGAGGAACCTCCATACTCTTTTCTAGAGTGGCTGCATCAGCTTACATTCCCACTAAGAGTGTAAGAGGTTTCCTCTTTCTCTACATCTTCGCCAACATTTTTTCCCCTGACTTGTTAATTTTAGCCATTCTGACTCGTGTGAGGTGATATGTCATTGAGGTTTTGATTTGGACTTCCCTGATGCTGAACGATGTTGAGCACTTTTTCATGTTTCTGTAGGCCATTCATATGTCTTCTTTGGAGACATGTCTGTTCATGTCTTCTGCCCATTTCTTCACTGAATTATTTGTCTTTTGGGTGTTGAGTTTGATAAGTTCTTTATAGATTTTGGATACTAGCCCTTTATCTGATAAGACATCTGCAAATATCTTCTCCCATTCTGTCAGTTGTCTTTTGGTTTCATTGACTGTTTCCTTTGCTGTGCAAAAGCTTTTTATCTTGATTAAGTCCCAATAGTTCATTTTTGCCTTTGTTTCCCTTGCCTTTGGAGACCTATCTAGTAAGAAGATGCTGCAGCCAATAGAATCCAACAGTACATTAAAATGATTTTTCACCACAACCAAGTGGGATTTATTCCTGGGCTGCAAGGGTGGTTCAACATCCACAAATCAATCAATGTGATATACTATATTAATAAAAGGAAGGACAAGAACCATATGATCCTCTCAATAGATGCAGAAAAAGCATTTGACAAAGTACAACATACTTTCTTGATTAAAACTCTTCAGAATATAGGGATAGAGGGAACATACCTCAATATCATAAAAGCCATCTATGAAATACCCACAGCAAATATCATTCTCAATGGGGAAAAACTGAGAGCTTTTCCTCTAAGGTCAGGAACATGGCAGGGATGTCCACTCTCACTATGTTCAACATAGTACTAGAAGTCCTAGCCCCTGGGTCAGGAGGTTACTGCCTGTGTTCTCCTCCAGGATTTTGATGGATTCCTGTCTCAGATTTTGGTCTTTCATCCATTTTGAGTCTATTTTTGTGTGTGGTGTAAGGAAATGGTCCAGTTTCATTCTTCTGCATGTGGCTGTCCAATTTTCCCAGCACCATTTGTTGAAGAGACTGTCTTTTTTCCACTGGACATTCTTTCCTGCTTTGTTGAAGATTAGTTGACTATAGAGTGGAGGGTCCATTTCTGGGTTCTCTATTCTGTTCCATTGATCTATGTGTCTGTTTTTGTGCCAGTACCATACTGTTTTGATGATTACAACTTGGTAATATAGCCTGAAGTCCAGAATTTGTGATGCCACCAGCTTTAGTTTTCTTTTTCAACATTCCTTTGGCTATTTGGGGTCTTTTCTGATTCCATACAAATTTTTGGATGGTTTATTCCAGCTCTGTGAAAAATGCTGATGGTATTTTGATAGGGATTGCATTGAATGCATAGATTGCTTTGGGTAGCACAGACATTTTAATAATTTTTGTTCTTCCACTCCATAAGCATGGAATATTTTTCCATTTCTTTGTGTCTTCCTCAATTTCTTTCATGAATGTTCTATAGTTTTCTAAGTACAGATCCTTTGCCTCTTTGGTTAGGTTTATCCCTAGGTATCTTATGGTTTGGGGTACAATTGTAAATGGGATCAACTCCTTTATTTCTCTTTCTTCTGTCTCATTGTTACTGTATAGAAATGCAACCGATTTCTATGCATTGATTTTATACCCTGGCACTATATCCTGCTGAATTCATGTATGAGTTCTAGCAGTTTTGGGGTGGACTCTTTGGGTTTTCCATATAGAGTGTCATGTCATACGCAAAGAGTGAGAGTCTGACTTCTCTGCTAATTCAGATGCCTTTTATTTCTTTTTGTTGCCTGATTGCTGGGGCTAGGACTTCTAGTACTATGTTGAACATAGTGAGAGTGGACATCCCTGCCATGTTCCTGACCTTAGAGGAAAAGCTCTCAGTTTTTCCCCATTGAGAATGATATTTGCTGTGGGTATTTCATAGATGGCTTTTATGATATTGAGGTATGTTCCCTCTATCCCTATATTCTGAAGAGTTTTAATCAAGAAAGTATGTTGTACTTTGTCAAATGCTTTTTCTGCATCTATTGAGAGGATCATATGGTTCTTGTCCTTTCTTTTATTAATAAAGTATATCACATTGATTGATTTGTGGATGTTGAACCACCCTTGCAGCCCAGGAATAAATCCCACTTGGTTGTGGTGAAAAATCATTTTAATGTACTGTTGGATCCTATTGGCTAGTATCTTGGTGAGAATTTTTGCATCCATGTTCATCAGGGATATTGATCTGTAATTCTCCCTTTTGATGGGATCTTTGTCTGGTTTTGGGATCAAGGTAATGCTGGCCTCATAGAAAGAGATTGGAAATTTTCCTTCCATTTCTATTTTTTTGAAACAGCTTCAGAAGAATGGGTATTAATTCTTCAAATGTTTGGTAGAATTCCCCTGGGAAGCGATCCAGCCCCGGACTCTTGTTTATTGGGAGATTTTTGATTACTGCTTCAATTTCCTTACTGGTGATGGGTCTGTTCAGGTTTTCTATTTATTCCTGTTTCAGCTTTGATAGTTTATATATTTCTAGGAATGAATCCATTTCTTCCAGATTGCCTAATTTGTTGGCATATAATTGTTCATAATATGTTCTTATAATTGTTTATATTTCATCAGTGTTGGTTGTGATCTCTCCTCTTTCATTCATGATTTTATTTACTTGGGTCCTTTTCCTTTTCTTTTTGATAAATCAGGCCAGGGGTTTATTGATCTTATTAATTCATTCAGAGAACTAGCTCCTAGTTTCTTTGATCTGTTCCACTGTTCTTTTGGTTTCTATGTTACTGATCTCTGCTATAATCTTTATAATTTCTCTTCTTCTGCTGAACTTAGGTTTTGAATTGCTGTTCTTCCCCCAGCTATTTTAGGTGTAAAGTTAGGTTGTGTATTTGAGACCTTTCTTGTTTCTTGAGAAAGACTTGTATTGCTATACACTTTCCTCTTAGGGCCACCTTTGCTGCATCCCACAGGTTTTGAACAGTTGTGTTTTCATTTTCATTTGTTTCCATGATTTTTTTAACTCTTTAACTTGCTGGTTGACCCATTCATTCTTTAGTAGGATGCTTTCTAACCTCCATGTATTTGAGTTCCTTCCAAATTTCCTCTTGTGATTGAGTTCAAATTCCAAAGCATTGTGGTCTGAAAATATGCAGGGAATGATCTCAGTCTTTTGGTACTGGTGGAGACATGATTTGTGACCCAGTATGTGAACTATTCTGGAAAATGTTCCATGTGCACTCGAGAAGAATGTGCATCCTGTTGCTCTAGGATGGAATGCTCTGAATATCTCTAAAGTCCATCTGGTCCAGTGTCTCATTCAAAGCCCTTGTTTCCTTATTGATCTGCTTAGACGATCTGTCCATTGCTGTGAGGGGGGTGTTAAAGTCCCCTACTATTATTGTATTATTAAGAATGTGTTTCTTTAATTTTGTTAATAATTGGTTTATATAATTGGCTGCTCCCATATTGGGGACATAAATATTTACAATTGCTAGATCTTCTTGTTGGATAGACCCTTTAATTATGATACAGTGTCCTTCCTCATCTCTTATACAGTCTTTGGTTTAAATTCTAATTTATCTGATGTAAGGATTGATACCCTAACTTTCTTTTGATGTCCATTAGCATGATAAGTGGACCCTTTCAATCTGGAGGTGTCTTTGGGTCTAAAATGAGTTTCTTACAGACAGCATATCGATGGGTCTTGCTTTTTTATCCAGTCTGATACTTTGTGTCTTTTGATTGGAGCATTTAACTCATTTATATTCAGAGTAACTATTGAAAGATTCGAATTTAGTGCCATTGAAAAAACATGGAATGCTTCACAAATTTGCGTGTCTCATCCTTGCACAGGGGCCATGCTAATAATCTTTTCTGTATTGTTCCAATTTTAGTATATGTGCTGCTGAAGTGAGCACAAGGCATGTAAATTATCTTAAGTGTCTTATACAAGAGCAAGAGTTGCTGACTAAATACAGGCCTTGTTTTAAAAAACTTTTGGTCAAGATTTTATATTGGGATAACCTCTAAAAACACAATTGCACTCTATAGCTTAAAACAGTCAAGGAGAAAAGGAGCGGAAATACAGAGAGCTTTCTCAAACCAAAAGAAGTAAAAGATAAATAGACCAATAGAAAAGAAAGGAAAAGGATTATAAACAGAAATTATAGAATGATATGTTGAAAGTGAATATAAATATAAAAGTGACAGAAAAATGAACCCACCTATTAAGAGACAGAGCATATCATATAAGGGAAAAGACCAGTAATCATGTAAAAGCATTTCAGTTCCACTTAAATAAATGCAAATAAAAAAATCAATGAAATACCATTTTTACATATTAAATTGAAAAAAATGTGGTCAAGGTTATCAAAAATGAACTTGCTTAAACAGTATTAGTGAGAATTGAAATTTTTATACCCTTTTAGAAGGGAAAATTTACAAAAGCCTGCTCACGACGATGTAACATATAATACTAAAACTCAGATTTTACATGAATGTCTAACAATGGAAAATTATTGAATAATTGATAGTACATCTGTGCTGTTAAATATTAGACAGCCACTAAAATAAAGTTCTCAAATAACATGTACTAAGATGGAAAGTGCTTAGAACTTAATTGAAAAAAGCATGATATGCAATTGAATGACAATACTGTTAGAAAACTACACATTTAGGGGCACCTGAGTGGCTTAATCAGTTTAACATCTACCTTTAGCTCAGGTCATGATCTCAGGCTCCCTTTTCAGCAGGGACTCTGCTTCCTCCTCTGCACCTCCCTCCACATGCATGCTCTCTCTCTCTCAAATAAATAAATAAAATCTTAAAAAAAGAAAACTATACATTTAATTAATCTACATAAGTGTGTTCATTTTTTAAAGTTAGTGTAATACAATATTAAAATATAAATATTTTAATTTATTTTCTGCCAATGATCAAGAAAAGAGATGCTTACATTCCAAAATGAAGTGTGAGACCATCATGTGGAACTTACAAAAGGAGACTGTGGAAAACCACTTGTTTTCAACTCTCTCATTCACAACAAGAGGGGAAGTAGAAGATTGAAAGAGTTGGCTAGAGTGTTTGGTGAGCTGCTGTGCATGGCATCCATCCACTCTCCTCCCCAAGGATGAGAATGAATGAAATTCTCCCTTCACCTCAACTAAAAAGACAGGACATGAGAAAACTAGTCATGGAACTTAGTATTTGTTGCCTGCAGTTGACGTACATGGTGGACAGATGTCTGAATGAGCTTGAGAAATTTAAGGATGAGTTATTCCCTGACAGGTTCATCTCCTAAGGGAGAAGAAGTACTTTTGCACTGGGATCTGCTTTTTTCCCCAAGATCGTCTTAACAAAGTATATCTGGGGAACCAGATGTCAGTATCATGTGAGAGATAGCCTGGTGGGCTTGCATTGATGTTGCCTGGGATTGCCCACCAGAGGGGCAATGGAATCCCAACAGTGAAGGGGAGCTTATGCAGCAGTAAAACACTGAAAACCAGGGAGAAAAAGAAAGCAAGAAGCCATCACCTGGCCAAGAGAACTGCATGTGAAGACTCCCATTACGCAGAAGGGTCATGCAAAGCAGTCTCCAAAGAACCCAAGAAAGATTCTGATGAGGGAATACTTTTAAACATTTCTGTACCCAATGAGCACATTTCAGCTCTGAACAGTATTAGTCAAATAGAAGAGTGTCTGACTCCCTACAAGAATAAATATACTTTATGATTATATCCCACAAGATATACTTGATCCACATGGCAGTTACATTGGGAAGAAAGAAAAAAGATTAGAAGGATATCTATCTCTAGTAGAAGTAATATTTGGGGATATAGCAATGGGATTACTACTGACTTTTCTTTTAATAAGAAGATTTTTATAAAATCAACAGATGTTTCTTATCTTGTAACCAAATAGGATTTGTAGTGCATGGTTGCCTGGTCCCCTAGATCATAATGAAATGTCGCTATTTAGCTACTACATAAGTTTTTTTTAAAAAAAAAAAAAAAAGGATGGGGCACCTGGGTGGCTCAGTTGGTTAAGCGTCTGCCTTCGGCTCCGGTCGTGATCCCAGGGTCCTGGGATTGAGCCCCACGTCGGGCTCCCTGCTCCGCGGGAAGCCTGCTTCTCCCTCTCCCGCTCCCTCTGCTTGTGTTCCCTCTCTCGCTGTCTCTCTCTGTCAAATAAATAAATAAAATCTTAACAACAACAACAACAACAAAAAGGGGGGATGGTGGGACTCCTGGGTGGCTCAGCTGATTAAACATCAGATTCTTGGTTTCGGCTTAAGTGATGATCTCCAGGTTGTGAGATTGAGCCTTGCGTTTGGCTCTGCACTCAGCACAGAGTCTGCTTGATATTCTCTCTCCTTCTCCCTTTGCCTCTCCCCTGTGCACCCTCTCTCTCTCAATCTCTCTCCCTCTCTCAAATAAATAAATAAATAACATCTTAAAAAAAATGGGATGTTTTCTCTCTGAAGAGCTACTGCAGTCCTTCTGCAATAATGCTAATATGTATTCAAACTACAGTTTATTCCTTAAAATCTCAACATAATACATTAAACATATTTTTTGTTCTTATATATTATAAATTTTAAGTTGCACTAACAAAAAAAAAACAGTGTATTAAAAAGGTTTTTTTTTTTTCATCTGTAGTTAATATAGTTGGGTAAGAAAACAGGGTTAGGCACTGGGGTGGGAGGTCTATCATATATGCACGGAACTAATGCTTCATAGGGCTCATTTATGTTTTCTAACCACACTTAAAAATTTTGTGCACATACACATTTAGACACAATATTTTATATATTCTGTAACTTCTTTTTACTCATAAAATTATCACATATTTTTAGAAATTTACTATAAAAATGTTTTATAATATTATTTGTTATCTTCTAGTGAAAAATTTTTAGCAATTTTCCCTGTAAAATATCTTTAATTTGGGAGGCATGCATTCCTGGACAATGATAAAGACTTGATTTAAGACCTTTGCTGTACTTTTTCTAATTTATTAAAATGCCCAATCTCCTTCATAAGAGTATTAGGATTTAATTAATCACTTGACTCATTGAGAATATAAAGTGCTAGATCAGTGTGAAGATTTTTCAGTTATAGTTTTTTCTGTCACCAGAAATGTAGAGCTATGCATTAATTTCTACTGAACTCTCATAGATTAAAAAAATTTTAATGTAAATATTAAAAACAATGATCTGAAATATTAGTGTCACTAGTGGTGTGGTTTTGGTGATGGTGAGCATACAATTGAATGTTATAAGAGAAAGGATGCACAGAGAAATTCTCTTTATTTTCTTCATGGTATTTTCATGAATTGGATGGGATCCAGTAGTTAAAACATAAATATTATGACTGAACTAGTAAAAAAACAACTGAAAAAATCAAATATTATAAAAAGCTTGTATGTCCACTTTGATAATATAAAACAAGTGTATGTGTCTATGTGTGTGTGTGTGTTTGTGCTTGTGTGTCTGTGGGGAGAGAGAGGCACCTAAAGTGTAGTAGACAGAATTCCAAAATGGCCCCCACGATTCCTGTCCCATGGTGTATTTACCCTGTATATGTTCTTCCTGAGTGTGGCCGGGGCTTATGCATATGAGGGGATAATCACTTCCATTATTTGGTTACGTTATACAAGACACTTATATAGCTCACTGGAAAGATTCTCATGCTGATTTTGAGGAATTAAGTTGTCAGGTGAGAGTGCAGGCTCTAGGACCTGAGAGTGACTCCTGGCTGAAAGCAGTGTCTGCACAGCTGTGTTCCTTTCTCAAGGCTCTGAGGAGAATCAATTTCTTACATTGTCCCAGCTTTTATAGGCCACCTAAATTCTTTAGCTATTGGTCTTTTTCTCCACCCTCAAAACCAGAAAGGGTGAGTCAAGTCCTTCTTACATAGAATCACTCTGACTTCCTATTTTAGCTCTTGCTCCACATTTAAAAATCTTTGTGATTACACAGAACACAGCCAAGTAACCCAGGAAAAGCTTTCTCTCTTAAAGTCAGTTGATTAGCAACTTTAATTCCATTTGCTATTTTAATTTTCCTTTGCCAAGTAATGTAACATACTTGAAAATTCCAAAGATTAGGGTGTGGATATCCCTGGGGACCATTGTTTTGGTTATCAAATATCTCAACAAAAAATAGGTATTACAATAATGAAAGAATGACAACACAAACACTTCAATTTTAGGGGTTATTCTAAAATCTTAATCACACTGCTAAGATAAATACTTTTTTTTAAGATTTTATTTATTCATTTGAGAGAGAGAGAGCACAAGCAAGGGAGGGGCAGAGGCAGACTCCCCACTGTGCAGGGAGCCTGATGTGGGGCTTGATCCCAGGACCCTGGGATCATGACCTGAGCTGAAGGCAGATGCTTAACTGACTGAGCCACCCAGGTGCCCCTAGGATAAATTTTTTTTTTAAAGATTTTTTTTTTAATTTATTTATTTGAGAGAGAGAGAGAGAGCACATGAGAGGGGGGAGGGTCAGAGGGAGAAGCAGACTCCCTGCCAAGCAGGGAGCCCGATGTGGGACTCAATCCAGGGACTCCAGGATCATGACCTGAGCCAAAGGCAGTCACTTAACCAACTGAGCCACCCAGGCGCCCGCCCCTAGGATAAATATTAAGAAAATGTTTAAGTTACTGAAACCCTCCAAAACTAAACTTTCTTTAGATCTATGTTGATTCTCCTACAATGCACAGTTTTTAATAAATCAATATTGTAAGCAAAAAACAATGTTAATGTAAACTTTAATAGAGATGAAATACATTTAAAATTCAACTACTATTTATTTAATTTTATTATCTTCCAATTGATTGCGTACCTTAGTAATAGAACCAAAAGTCTCTCTTTATTGCTCAGGATAATCAGGAATATTCACAGGTTCATGTTTTAT